ATGTTATATTAAAATTTTGTCTTTGGCAAAATTTTAATATAACACATATATTATTTTACACAGATTTGCTTCCTCTGAACATTGTAGCTATATTACAATGTTTATAATATATTTTCATAATTTTGTTGACTATTTGTAATTATTAAAATATTCGTTTTTTTTGTATGAACCGTGTGCTTAATTCTATTGGATGTATTTCTATTTATGGATACCAAACATTGATGAAAAAATTAACAGGATATGGATTGTATAACACATATAAGGACACCGGTTTCATTACAATTTTACAGAAAACAAAACATGAGGTTATACACAATACCAAAATTTTAAAGCCGAAGATGTAAAAATACCTCAATACTTGAGGAGCTATATGACCAAAATTGACATAACAGTATAGCAAAATTCATCTAAGGTCAACTTTGCCTGAGGAAGTTGGATGTAACCTAAGTTTCTTCATTTAATTTCTAAATTTATCAACGGAGAACTTAGGAAAAGTTTGTTATAAATCATGTCAGTACCGAATAACTGAATACTGAGCTGATGATACCCTCGGGGACTAACAGTCTACCAGGAGCAGTATCGGTCAGTTTTAAGAAATGAAAAAAAAACACTTATATAAATCTGGAACGTCCAAATTTGCAATTCTAGCGAAAATGAAACTTAAATGCTACACATTTTGTAGTTTCTTGAAGTGTTTGTGATTACGACATTCGTTCTGAAATTGGAATGTCAATTTTCACTGTAAGACTTGACATCTCTTAGGACGTACGATTTATTACCTTCCAACTGAAATTACCAAGTTCACAGCTCATAATTATATTCTGATGGGAATTTACAATGATCCAATATAATTTTTTCCCTCTCTCTTGGAATATTAAATTTTGTGGATGTCCTCTCTCAAGCTGTGTTGAATGCAACGTTATACCAAAAGCTTGCGTTTTTCAGTCTGTTTTTGTAACTATTTTTGTTGACCTGAAGACTATACGGGTCAAGACATCACGCCTGATGTGAAAGATCCATTCAATCTTTTTTTTTTCTTTATTTTTTGCTGTTTGTCTTTTTTTTGGAAAATAACATTATTACTCTGCGACTTTTTTCATAAAAAATCATACGAGAAAACAAATACGCGTAAGTCATGATAATTTTAGCCAATTTTACAATCGATTTTGATCGTAGACAATTTACCCCCAGGACAGTTGGAAATCTAGTGACAAAATATTACCTCCCTTGTAAACACTGAAAACAAGATCTTTTCAATATTTGTCCCGTTTCAACAAGGACGCTATTAATTATAGATTCACGGGAAAACGTTCTGGTAAATAGTAAAAATAGAAATAGGCTGAAATCAAAACAAAAATTCCATTTAATCTTATCATTTCCCTTCTTTAAAAGCAAACGACGAGTACAGCAGCTGTGATTGGATGTAAGGGTAAACTATATTTTTTTTATTTATTCATGAATAACTGCAGTGTGTTTATTTAGAATGAAACATATTGAAATATTTTCTTGAGAATTATTCGAAAAGGCTTCAAAATTTTCATTATTTGATGTAAAATGACGGTGGGCATGGATACTATAAACAAGCTCCGTTCGAAGATTGTCATGCTACTATTTGACTTCAATTTTAAAACAGAAAAATAAAGTACTAATATCACACATAACTGTTTCGTCCAGGTTTATATTATAAAAAGAGGTAAATTTACAAAATTTTAGTATTGTCGCTTATGGAAGAATAAATACTACCGTTTTCCCTAGATTCCCCACTAAGTATATTCGATGTTTTATTCGGTAAGAGTTCGGTATTTTAGTTATTTTACTTTTTGTGCATACGGGCCCAGGTATTATATTCAAAAATTGAATTTGAAGACTGGAAAGTTGCTAGTCGTTCTCTTTGCGATGATAGCTTTGTGTTTGTCTTAAAATTAGGGTATCATCATATCGACATTTTCCCAACTCATCAAAGGTATTTGAAGTTTTCTAGGGAATTTTACAAAACAATAAAATATTTTGTTTTACCTTTTGATCTGAGTTCAGCTGGATATATTTTTACGAAAGTTGTAAGGCCTTTAGTGGCTCACTGGCAAAAAAAACCGGTATAATTATAAGATTACTGTTTACTTGGATGATGGGCTAGGTTTAGAATACAATGAAAATTTGTGTAGACGTCAAGCCTTTAAGTCAAGCAAGATTTAGTTCAACCAGGTTTTGTTTCGAATAGAAAGAAATTTATTTGGGAACCTGTACAAGTACTGACTTGGTTAAGTTTTACATGGGATTTGAAGAACTGTTTTCTATTAATTCCTTCGCACAAGATCGACTATTTGTTGAATTTCATTTAAACAATTTTAGATACTGCATCAAAACTCAAGATGAGATTGTTAGCTAAATTTTGTATCAAAATTATTGCTTTTTCACCTGCCATTGACAATGTTACACACATTATGGCAATGTATTGTTTTGGCGTTATAAATACTAAAGATGACTGGGATCAGTATGTAAATCCTAATTTCTATTCAGGTGCTGTTAGCGAAATAATATTTTGGAGAGACAATATACGGTTGTTTAAAAGTAAGAACACATTTTAATGTTTTTATCGTTGCTAGTAATACTGGTGCTGCAGGTATGTTGAAAGATTCAAATGTTATAATGCATAAACACTGGTTACAAAATGAGGTCGACACAAGTTCCTCTTGACGAGAGTTTAAGGCAATCGAACTCAGCATTATCTCTTTCAGATATCTGTTACAGAATAATTCAGCGAGATTCAATTGTGTCAATCAAAGCGCTGTCAGTATTTGAAAAAAAGCGTTATAAAAATCCAGAGTTATAAGAAATGGTACTTTCCATTTTTAACACTTGTATTGACTCTAATATAGCTTTATTTGCTCAGTGCATACATGTACCTACAGATGAAAATGAACAGATTGATGCTTTAAGTAGAATCATAGACATAGATGACTGTGGTGTTTCATTGGAGTTTTTTTTCAGTTTTTAAGTAGCATTTTGGGCCCATATACAGTTGATCGATCGGTTTGCAAATATGGACAATGCGAAATTGCATCGTTTTAATTCTTTATATTGGAATCCGAAGACAAGTGCAATAGATGCATTTTCTTGTAATTGGAAGAGTGAAAATATGTTGGATTGTACCACCAGTCAGTTTGGCTAGAAAATGTATCTATTATTTAATCAACTGTTGTGTATTTGGAACTTTAATAGTTCCGAAATGGCAATCCGCTTAATTTTGCAGCTGTTTTTAGGAAAGATTTACAGTTGAACCGCTGGGTAACTGACGTTTTGGAGTTTACAGAGCCAATGTTTGCAACCGGTAAATTCATTGGTAAGGTATTGGCTGTTCGTCTGATGCTTCTTGTATTAATGAATGAGTGTTTGGTAACACTTGGTTTGTTGAACTGGTTTGTTCTGAATTTTATAATGATCGGGTCACAGGGCCGTTTATTGTCGGTCACAAGACATGATTCTGCAGGGCACAGGACCAAGCCTTGCGTTTTTTACTCCAACTTCACAGGGCACTATTTCATGTAGTATTTAGAAACTTTTTACTGAAGGTATGTAAATATTTGTTAAGATATTAATGTACAATAGTTTGGTTATTATCTTTGTTTCGTCCTTTTGTTTCTGTTATAGAAAATGTTTTCTACTGGATTTTGGTCTAAGCAAGATAATTCTATTTATGGATACCTTTTTGATAAATTACCAAACACCATAGTGGACGCTAGAGCTCGATCTATAGTATCTAAATATACTAAAAACTGGATCTTCCATCACTTTATTGGATACCTAAACTACATAAGTGTCCTTACAAACTGGGTAAATTGCTGGGTCTTCCAAGTGCTCTACTAAACCTCTTTCTAAATAGTTAACATCAATTTTATCATCAATCAAAGCCGGGCTTCAAAGTGATTGTGAAACTACCTATTCTAGGGTGACGTGAATCAGATGTCGATACTGAAAAATTCCAAAGATCTTTTAGAGTACATACAATCTAAGACTCCTTCATCTTGCCATAGTATTAAAATATTTGACTTTTCTACACTTTACACAAGTATTCCCCAATCAAAGGGCGATAATTGTGTCATCGGGCCATATATAGCAGTTTGACAAACACGAATTTTAATAATTGAGAAGCGTGATTTTTCTTTACTAATAACATTTGATTTTTAAAGAATTAAATCCCTTTGGTGTGTAATACTCCCTAAAGTACTCATCCCCCCCCCCCCCCAACTTGTTATAATAATAATAATAAACTATATAATTCACATCAATATTTCTTTAATTCGTGTGTGAATGTACGTTGACAAACAATTATAAAAATTTAACAAAAAACAGATGACATTGTTTAAGAATTTTCATCATATTTAAGCCAAAATAGCACCCTTTAGTTATTAAATCCCGTCATTTAATGATAAGGTTATTTTATTAAATAAAGAGCGAGTATATATATAAGGGAACTGTAAACTGACGAAGAATACGATTTTTGTCTTTGGTGTCAATTAGAAGTAAACTTTAATAATACAATTTTTGAAATATCATTTTGTACGGCCGATTGTAGAAACGAATTGTCTGTCTCTAAAGGAACGGCCACCTGGTTGTTTTAACGCTCAGACCAAGTTGACGCAATGATTGCCAACTGGACAGTCTTGGTTCTCGTCCTAAACAAAAAGCAAGTGTTTCGTTAATAAATCGGCCAATGAAGTGTGAGTTCTTCAAACAAAGAATTATTTTTTACGGTAAGAAGTCAATTTGGAACGGTCTTAACCTCTCTCCAAAACTGCCGAATAAACTGTTATAGAACTGTTATAAACTGTTCTAGAACCGTTTACGCTATAACTGTAATAGAGTAGAACTGTCAGAATCTGTTTTAGGGTAGTACTGTCAAGAACTGTTCTATTGTAGAAATGCCAGTAAATGTTCTACGGTGGCACAATTCAAATTTGTTCTAAGGTCGGACTGTCCTTATCTGTTTTACTAAGTTGTATAACTGTCCAAACTTGTTCTATCGGGTATCACTGTCCGAAACTGTTAATGGGTAAAACATCTTCTGTTAGAAACTATTCTTAAGGTGTCAGGTGAACTGTTCTTTAAGAATGTTCTAGAACAGTCCTCGTGACAGTTCCGGACATATTTCAAGAGAGGTAAGAGCTAATCTCAAATGTTATTATTTGGATTGTTTAAATGTATCTATAGAAAAGGGATGATCAAGATGTCATAGTGCATTTTTATCGTGTTTACCGTGCTCTGACTACATTTCATTACGTAATTCGAAAATAAGGAAATTTCCACTTTTTGCGGCATATTTCTCAATATAATTTTTTGTCAATCACGAATCACGTATTTTTTTTTAAATTACGCGCAACTTGAAGCAACATTTGACGTTTCAGTTTGTTTCTGAAAATTTGCAATAATCATGATCATAATCATAGTCCCATAAAGTAAAAAGGGAGGCAATTGCCAAGAATAAATCGAACATATCAGTTCCTTAAAATAGCTCGGAGTTTGTATTCTGCTGGAAAAAAAATAACTCCAAATATTCTTTTCTTTGCGGGTGGTCCTGATCCATCAGGTGGCAAAAATTTAAACCTTCTTACAAGAGAAATGATGGTTAAAAATAACTCTTGCCTGGACAACACATCTCCAGGGCAGCTTCTTCTACCTAAAAATAATTAATATATAATATAAAATATTACCAATATCAACATTTATTCCTAGCTTATGTAGTTGATAGAACAAATATTCATCCGGTCACACTGAATTCATACCGCAGTACAAAATGTGCATCGATTCAGTTTTCATTAAAAAAATTTCGTCTTTGGTCATCGACTGAGTATTTTATAACTGGATCTGAATATATGTACACTCTACGGGGAGAACGTTAGGTACTAAAACACTAGAATTACTCCACCACAAATGCATGTGATTGGCCCAATTAAATTTTGATAGATCTTTTGTAACCCCTGTTCAAGACATCACAATTTATTCTAGATTTTAGGAATTTATATATTAGTATGTACATTTGGCACTTGTCAATTTTGTAGACGATATTGTGTACTATAGAAATCCCATATTGAGCAATTCTTGAATATACAATTTGATAATTTAATTTGGCAACTGTTCACAAATGAGTTTTGTTACAATTGTATTACCCCAACTCCCAATGTTTTAATTGTTTTTGTTTGTTATTGTTGTTTTGTTCTTGTATTGATCTGTAGAATGACATAACTGAATAAAATTCTATATTGTAGAAACCTCAGTATTTGGCATGTCTTCTTGTGTATAGTTTCTACTATACCTATACTGTCCTTTCTTTTCCATACTTATCGTGTATTTGCTTCTCACAAGTATCCTCCTAATTTTGTTCCCAACAATTTCAGTGCTTTAAAAAGGATCGTTGTCTCTTTAGCACATTGAAATGAGATTTCTCATGGTTATATTAATTAAATATCAAGAGTTAACACATATTGGACGACTTTACTTTCTCATTGTTTGTTTTTCGTTGTTGTCTTATCTTGTGGCGATTTTCAGAATCTGTAGAAGTCATATCGTATTAGGATTTACTTTTTGTGTATGTGTTTTGGTTGCTGTTGTTTATTCGTATGAGTATGTTAAAACATAAAATTGATGTTATGAAGAATACAGCAGACTTTTTTTCGCAGTAACAAAGACTATTATATACTTCCTACTCTTTCTTTTACATACCTAGCGAAAACGGTATATTCAGCTTGGTCATCGCTGTAGATATTTTAGATCCCTCTAAGAATCTATCTGGTATAAACTCTTCAGGGTTTGGATAAATTTTCTCATCAAAAAGTACAGAATCCAAACAGGGGTAGACAATTGTTTCAGCGGGGATTCTATACCCTTGGAATTTTACATCACCCCGTGTAGACCTTGGAGCAGACAATGGTGCCACGTTCGATACCCGCATGGTTTCATTGCAAACGGCGTCACAATAAGGCATCTCCAATCTGTCATTCATTTCAGGAGGGCGTTCTAGTCCAATAACTTCTTGAATTTCCAGAAACATTCTTTCCTGTATTTCAGGTTTGCAAATAAGATGTAGAATTGCCCATCGTATGTTAGTGGCGGTAGTGTCAGTTCCTGCTAGCAAAATATCACGGCATATTCTAACAAGCTGTCGTTCTACAAATAAGAAAAGTTACAAAAAAAATCTTTTTAAAAGGTGGTCTTCTTCGATAGTTTAGAAAATTGTTATATGCATTCTTAGAGCTAACTCTTGAGCATGATCATATGCGAATAATAAGGCAAAAAACGTCATTTTACACACAATAAAACAAAAGATGTATAAAGAGGTACGCCAATTAGGTTTCATGCATGGTTATTTCATACCAAAGCTATTTAAAAAAAAGTTATCAAATCTCAAATAAAGTTCACAATAACATAGCTACGTGTGGTTTCGTTGAACTTCTGACAACTCATGTCATGCTATTATAAATTTAATCAAACTATAACTGCTTATTTATGCAAAAACGGTAATAGATGTAAAGGATAAGTTTAACATCGATGTAATACATTTAAGTCGTAAATATGGATTACAAAATGGCAAATGTGAATTAAGAAATTGAAAGAAAAAAATATGTATTTTCGTTATTTTATGTTGCGATGAATTCAAATATTTTCAGTCAAAAAGATGAGTCACGAAATCGCAAAAAGCAGTTAAGAAGTTGTATCGAAAAGTTAAATAGTCGATATTACATGTGAAAAGGAATTTAAACCGAAATTCTACATCTTTAAGTTGTTAATATGAGAATGAAAATCACAAATGTTGAATAAACAGGCGTAAATACGAATACTTTCATGGACTAAATATATCGCAATTTATTGGAATCGTCAACACGATTTTTCTTTTGAAATTGCTGGTTACAAAACCGTAAATGTGAGTTACAAAATCGCAAATGTGAGTTATGAAGTTTTGAATAGAAATTGTACTGTCGGTATTCCATGAGAAAATTAATTTTACATCAAAATTCTACATTTTTACGTCGTTAATGTAAGTTTAAAAATCGCAAATGTTGGTTGAATAGGCGTTATGAATACGAATCACATCATGGACTTAACAGATCAAACTTTGTTAGAATCGTCGTCATGATTTTTTTTAAACCGTAAATATGCGTTAGAAATCTGTAAACAAAAGTTAGAAACTTGTTAATGGGATATAAAAATCTTTGATTTTCTATATAAGTCTTTTATTTAACAAAAAAAGTCATAAACCATGATTTTCAAAAACATAAAATTGTCGATCTAATAGTTTTCGAAACGCAATTGCAGGTTGACGAATTTCAGGATAGCTTTTTATAGAGACTTGCAGGATGAGAATTGCTGGATAGCTTGGCACTAGTGTACATTAGAATGTACCGCAGAACTAAAATTCACTTGAATACATTGACATCTTATCTTGTCGACATTGAAACCCGTCACACAGCTAGCTTAAATCCACGGAAGAGACTTTGATGACATTTGAAATATCAATTACTCTTAATTAATTTTCTACGGGACGAAAATTTTGCAAGTACGCAATATTTATTTGATCAGCACTGAAGTAATTTAAAAAATTTGATGCCAAGGTCGGAACTACAATGTAGCTCTAACTCATAATGAAGAACATGTGAACCAAAAAGACGATTTGAGGTTCCAGGTATAAATAATTAGTATAAAAATATCTATGTAGAATATTTGCTGTCATTTCAAGTTGATTCAAACTCAGTTATGTATATTTATTGTTAAGTTTTTGGCTTTGTGGTAATAAGTAAACGAATATTCTATACTTTTTTTGGCTACATAGATGATTAAAAAAAAAAATTTCCCGAGAAATATTATCTTAACTGTAACAATCAGAAACTGTTTACTTTTACGCAACGACCACTCATCTTAATTTGGAAGGAGGGGTTTATTTCAGGGAGAACCATTTTTCAACTTCAGATAAAATCCAGAAAATCATAAAAAAATATACATTACATACATTAATGAATATTGTGAAATATCGAAACTTAAGGTTAATCAAACCATAACAAAAATATTTATTTTTGGTTATGGTAGATTGTCAAACAATCTAAATTTTACACTTAATGGTAATGATTTAGACATTGTCAATAATATATCATATTTAGGCATTGTTTTTTTCCAAAAGGTAGTTTCACAGGGGCTTAAAAATCAAGTCATTAATACAGCCTACAAAGCTATGTACAACTGTATCCATTATGTTCCATGACAACTTTTAAGGGTTGACATTATCAGTGAAACTGGTTTGACCTTGTTGTATGCTTACCACTTATCTTGATTAACCTTCATCTTGTGCGACACGTTAAAAAACAAAAGTTTTGAAAATCAAATACATTAAAAAAAACTGTGAACCTAAAATAAACAACAATTCTATACCTGAGAAAACAGAGTCTTTTTCTTTTTGTCGCTTCTTCATTTCAGATAAATAAGCATCAGTATAATCGAGGATATTATTTTCATCAAGCGTTTGCTTATGCTCATCAAGACATTTCTGAATAAATTCGTCTAATTTTCTTTCGACGGTCAGTAATCGTTTAGCATGGAAAAGATCTCCCGGAAATGATTCCAAAAATGGTATCGCGTCTAATATTCCAGAAAATTCGGAGTCTGTTAGATGCTCGTGTAGCATATCTCTGATTTTCATCATTTGTGGGTCATCATAATCAAAACGACGATTGAACATAATAGATGTTACAATGTTAGAAAAAACACCCTGAATAAGTGGTTTCAATGTAAAAGTTTCGCCTTTTGTGTTTTCAATTGTTTTTAACAGAATTGTCACCTCTTCCATGATTTTGTCTTGCAGGCTGCGTTTTCCAAATCCGAAATCCTTCAGTGTCTTTTGAGTAAAAAACCTGCTTTCTTTCCACAAAAGACCACTAGATCCAATAATTCCTGAAAGTAAAATAAACACTGACTAAAGCAAAACTTTTAAATCGTCTTTGAATATTTTTTGATAGGGAATAATACATTGTCCATCGATTAATTAGATTCTGTTACTAGGTTTAAACTGTTGCAGAGCTGTCTTGTAAACGTATTTTCGGAATTAAGTGCTCTGCAGTGTAGACTGACGTGATCTAATATTGATGAAAATATTATTTCGCCTGTAAAACTAGAATAAAGAAATGTTAAAGAAATGTTTTTGAAAGTGTTTTTGTATTAATTAATTTTTTTGCTAATATAATCCATACTCAAAACAGACACCGCTTTAAGACCATTTCATTACGATTTCCGCCAATCTATTGCGGTTCGAGAAACATTGTTTTAAAGTAAATGTTTCGATAGGATGCTGACCCACTACGATCATTTGCTCAAATTAATTAAAACAGCTAATTAATAACTCCAAACTACATTCCTTGTGGTTGCGTACACGAAAACAATCATCTATGAGAGCACTTTTCCATTGCATATGGTTATTTCCTAGTAAGTTGTTGATTTGTGGGATCGGTGTCTAGTTTTCATCCACTTAAGACACACTTCATATTCATTATTTTTCAATAATCGAAAGTAATTGTTGAGACCCTCCAGCCTACAGTTTCAAAAATTTCCGGTTTACCATCGCAGCGAAAATGTAGCACAGTTATTTTCAATTTAAATAAGGAGCCACACGACAATGTAAAGTTCCAATAAGATTGTCTTTTAAGAGAGAAAATATAGAACATATGTACAATGCCCTATCGTGTTTACATCCTCGTTTTTTGTTTTCTGGTGGATAGTTGTCTCATTGGCAATGATACCACCTCTTCCTATTTGTATATTTTCCCACAATGTACGTAATATTTTGGGGTTTTTTCTGCTGCAATATAGGATTGACGCATCCACGAATTGTTTTTATTTTTTATTTCCCGACATTTGTCTTTGATTTTTAAAGTAATCAGCATGAATTAAGCGTGGACCGTGAAGGGACCCTAACATGAACTGTAGTGTAAATAGTAGTTTTAACATTACTGTTTGTTCAATAAATACGAAGGATACAATACAACTTTACTATACAAATACAGCAAAAAAATGTATACCTGCTATTTCCGTTAGTTGCAGGAATGGAGGATAAAATGTTTGTTTAATGTTTTTTTGGAAAAGGTTCAAGTGGTGATTGGCAGATTGTGTTATCAAATGTAGTTGTGAATATGGTTTAGGGAATCGTTTATCTATCTATACCTGTTCCATAGTTTCATGAATTTCTCAAATATGTTTCCTCTAAATGAACCTATATTGCGGTAGATACATGAACCAATGCAATACTGAGAGCATCATACTTTTGTGTTGGATTGCGGTCTCATTGATGTTTATCCACAACCCTTTTATATTCATTTAGAAGAATATTACACGTAATCCATCATAGTTGGTATTAAATTCATGCAAGGATCACACGACATACATTTGTACTTTCATAAGTTCAACAAAGGTTTTGACATTTTAAAAATGAATAATCCTTATTGTATTAACGACATCCTTGTTGTTCAGTTGGGACATCGGCTACATTTTAGAGCGGGTGATAAGTTATGCAAAGTGTTTTCCAATCTGTCCAAGTTGTACACTGACTCCAACCCAGTCCAGATAAAAAATCAAGAAATATCATCGCCAAAATTGAATAGACAAAAAGAAAGTACTCGAAACAGCCAAAGTAAAATTAAGGGACAATGGAGGCATATAGAGTACATGCTCAATATCCGATAGAAGTGATCGAAAGGTGTAACAGTACAGCACGAGGAACACGGCATGCTTGTTTCATATCAGACCCTTTATCGACCCTAGGTCATGATGTTATTTTATAGTTTCTTACAACACTCCATCGCACGCAAGCCATCTAATGAATATTATTGATGGCTCATGAATATCATTGAAGGATGGTCTCGTGAATATTAACGCCGGCTGTTATCGACGGCTTGCTTCACACTAGTCATGATATCAGCCCAAGAGCCGAAAGGCTTCAGCAGAAGAAATACAGACAATAACTATTTTTAAAACTGTTAAAATATGCATTTATTGAATTATTTGTTTTGCATATTTTTATAATACATTTCCCTGTTTCCTAATATTTATTTTTTATCCTACTTTGTTTATTTTTTCACTGAGAACGCCTGCGAAAATTACCGGAAGCAGTTGATAGATTTTTAATTTCAGCCCCTAAGCATCATTTCGGAAAATATGGAATTCACGTAAATTTAATGCTTTTATCATACAGTAAAAATTATAAGTTATTTACTCTAAGTATATGATACATACTAATATACTAATATTTTTTGTTCTTAATCTTATTACAAGCATATCAATCAAGTTAAAGACACAGACAATACAATATAATTTTGATTATTATTACATATAACCATGGAAGTATTATATTCATTTTACTTCCATGATATATAGATAACATACAAACAATAATTGTTCAATAATAAAAGACGGAGCGTCAAGTTCATTGGTCTACAAAGGAGGATAACCTAGATACTCCAAAAATTATTGTTAATAACATATATTTTGTATTATTTTATTTTTTTGTTTTTGTTAAGATAGAATATTTGTTCAGATCTATTCTATTGCCCTTCTTGTTTCAAATAAAAAAATAAGATAATCACTGAATTCAGATATAAATTGCATGTATGGCACGCCTGAACCACTTTTATTAATTAATCTTAGATTATCTCAGATAAACTAGGATTATCTCAGATAATCCCGGTTTATCTCAGATAAACTAAGATTATCTCAGCTTAATTCAAATTCGAGAAAATCCTATTTTATCTCAGAAAATACAGAAAATTCATTATCTGGAGAAAATCCCGGTTTATCTCAAAATATTAAGAAAATCTAGGTTTTTCTGATCGATTTTCAGATAATCCTAATTTATCTCCAGATAATTAATTTTCTCAATTTCTGATAATGAATTATCTCATTTCTCGAGAAAATCTAGGTTTATCTCGGATTCTAAATATACAAAAGAACAATGTAACGAGTGTTTTAATTGGACGACAATCCGGCGTTTAACGTTTTACTTTCTCTTTGAAACCATGATGGTGACGAATTCACTTCCTATTATTGGGTGAACGGGGATGTGCCAAAATATGGGTCATAATTTTGCGAGATTTTATATAAAAATTAGCGTCCTTTTTCAGAGGAGGGGCGACATTCAGCATACGGCACGCAATTTTTACTTATATTATTGATCGATCGCTGTGTTATTGTGTCATTTATCACTACTCGTGGTGTGAACATCACCGTTATTGACACCTGGACAAGGAAATTTGTTGAATCAATTATAAAAACAAGTAATATACAGAAGGGCTGATTATATACAATATACCGGCATATACTTTGTACATACATAATAAACAAATGGTAGCTATTTCTTTTACACAAACTGACTGTTTATTACCGACGGCTAATTTCGACATCGATAATCATTGAATTCTCATATTTTAATTCATTCAGTCGGTTTTAATTTTTTAATCGTGACAAAGTTTTGTAAAATATTTAATTTTAACTATTGCATTATTTCGTCATTTGTCAGTAAACAAAATAGATAGCACTAGAAAGAAGGCAACTAAGTAATCCAATACACATAATGCACGATTCAATTATGGACAAAACAATTATTTCATCATGGTTATTCATTAGACATAATTTTCATTTTGTTTTCAAAATAATTAAATACATAAGAGTTTATATGCCACGAACCTTAAAGCGCCAGTTATTAATTGTAGGATATAAACAATAAATGTACATTGTCTGAATACAAAATGTGTGTGTACTCGCTAACACGGGTGTCATTCGGTTTATCGAGAGAAATGATCGTGAAAGAATATCTAACGGAGGTCAAGTATTGCGAGACGATCGTGAAAGCTCTGGTACCGGATCGTGAAAGAAATTTAATCGAGAAGAGATATGAAAAGTCATTAAATAATCTAATTTAAATAATTACACGGACAAATTTACAACAATATAAAACTGTCTGTCAAAATGGTTGAACATTATGATCAGTATGTGAGAAAATCCAGTTCTAAAAGTACATAGTTTTTACAAAACAACAAAAGACATATTGCTCCTCGACATTTCAGTGACATCAAAAATGTAAACAAATATGATTTTTTCACAAATTCCAATAAAATAAACTATTTTTCTTCGAAAAAGGGCTTTCTATTTGAATGCATCAAATGGATCTCATAGTTATTTTGTATAAACATAATTTGAAACTTGGTAAAAAAAGAAATATTCACACAAAATTGATATTTCGGATCGTGAAAGATCACGTACCGGTTTTTGAAGATCGTGAAAAGGATCGTGAAAGATCTAATGCTACGAAGACGTTCATATTATTTTTCAATTATATGATAATTAATATTTGTTATTGGTATTAAAAAAAACTAGATTGGCATGACTGACCGGGGTCTCTTTTGCTGGTGAATAGGACTATAATCGTGCAATGCCATTGGATCTAATATCTTATAATACCACACAGACTTGGTATATTGTATCAATACCAGTCCATTTGTCCGTCCTTCATAAGTATTGTTTGTTTATACATTAAGATGTTTTATTTTGTATTTATAACTTTGAATTCTCATTTTTATGCCCATTATATTTATAAAGCTTACATACCTGTATGATATAGGGCCACGGTATTTGGTGTATGGTGTACATGTCTGTCTGCATGTTTCATATATGACGTCAATTGTATTTGATATATTGAATGATAGTAAGATGTCTGTGTCTGATTGTCGGTCAGGGTTTATATACTTTCGACCTCATGTTCCGAATTAATTGGCCAAACATAACTTTTACATTTGTCAGTTTCTAAGGTACTGTAAGCATCGGAACACCTATATTTGGTGTACGGGATTTTTGTAGAGACCTGTATGTCATGGTTCATCTGACCTTGACCTTTTTTTATGAATCATTGA